TTATTCCAAAATTGAACATTTGACTGACATAGCAATTCACACAAAAAACAGCTTGCTATTTGACTATTCTGTTAGTAAAATATTGTATAATAAAAAATAAAAGTTACTCAAATAGCTTAAAAAAAATAAATGTACACAAAAATATATACAAATGTATCTTTATACCTGCACAATATGTGGCTACTTTGTAAAATGTGTCCTTGAGGGAAGAGTGTAACCTGGATTAAAAGTGTGGATTATTGTGACCTGGATTAAAAGTGAATAGTCATTGTAGTGAAGCCTTTGTCTTCAACCATTGACGGAGGCCTCATGTCAGGGACGCTCATTTAAGGATCTTTCAGTGATGACAGCTGCTGCTGTGGTGTCCATGATGTCTGTCCATCATGAAGGCTGTCATTGTTTGTTGTTGTTGTTTTCTGAAATGAGAGTAAATATGCATTATAGCATAATTTACAGCAACTCAAGAAATGCCTTGTTTCATTTACAGTGTTAGGTTCAGGCAAAAGTAGCTAAAAGAGCAATTAAACACACACACACACACACACATATAAAATACTTAATTACACACATTTGAGTAGATGTAATAAATTATTTTAATTTCTGTTAAAATGCAAATCATCCTGCCATACAAGCAGTGTCTTCAGACTTTGCCAGCAAATTAAAATTTGAAGCTTAATCGTTAAATTATTATCTTTGTGTTAGATTTATTTACAAATCACATTTAAACACTGCTTGTACCAATTAAATTAAATAAAAAGTAACACACGTTCTCTATCACCGTTATTAATTAACCCCTTTAACTGCCTGCTCAACCATTTTGTTGTGGTTATTTTGGGTCACTATATCTCAGTGAAAGGAGTACGTAACTTGGTTTAACCTGGTTAACCAACCTCTACCATTTGTCTGAGATTCACTATCCTTAAGAAATCCACTAGGGGGCACTGTGTCTTTGAAGTCATCTTCACTCCCACTCCAACCAGGGTGTCCAAAACACAAAAATCTTCTGACACATGTTGACTGTTTTCGATGAAAATTTGAAAGGTAGGGATAGTTCTCTGACATATATGTGTGTAAAAGTCCTCACTTAACAAAATTATGTTATTTGATGACATCTAAAAATATAAATTAAATGTCAAATAATTTTTTGAAAACGTGCTTGACCAAATGGTTGATTCGGCATTTCATGGTAAATGTAGCAAATTAAGCTAATGTAAATAAAATTGACTTTTTTTTTTCCTCAATAAAATCAAAACATATTTTTATTTATTGCTGTAAATATGAAACAAAGTGTTATTACATTGTTATACATCGTGAATAAGCTGAGATCATTACTTTACACGTTAATTTTTGTTACTTTCTGAGTTTACATTAGTGAATATGTTAAAAGTCTAGAATATATGTGGGGGAAACATAATTTTGACAAATAATTCCCTTTTAACTAAATGACAGGCTAGTATACTAATATTACTACCAATGTCAAAGGTTTTTAATCATGAATTAATTGATATTTGTCAAACTACTACTATATGGACACAAAAATGCAGATGCATTCATTTCAATGATAACCAGCAGTGCAACAAAAGTCCAGACCGCTTCTACAAAGTCCAGCCTTTGTTTGAAATGCTTCGTGAGCAGTGTCTCCTGATACCATCCACTCACAAGCACAGCATGGATGAAGTCATGGTAGCATCTAAGGGCACATGGGCTGGCACCCTTCGCCAGTATATTGCCAACAAACCACATAAGTGGGGCTTCAAATTATTCTGTCAAGCAAGTTCATCTGGCATCATCCACGACCTGCTACTTTATCAAGGGGCATCCACATTCTTCAATGTCGCTCTCAGTGAAGAGGAACAGATGCTACCTCTGGGAGCAAAGGTTGTGACAACTCTGTGCAAAACCATAAAAGAGCCCCAGTTGTCCGTTGTTTTTTGTGATGACTTCTTCACAAGTTTCCACTTGGTCCAGAACCTGTACACTGCCCTGGGCGTCAAGTGCATTGGTACCGTACGACCAAACCGCACCGGTGGAGCTCGACGGCAGACAAAGACCTGTTGAAGAAGGGGCGTGGAGCCTGTGATTACAGGGCTGCTGAAGGGGTTCTTGCTGTAAAATGGTTTGATAACAAATGTGTAAAACTACTAGGGCATTAACAGAGTACTCGAGTAATCTACACATCGATTGCTAGGACATCTATCGAGGTTAAAAATGTTACGTCGAGTATCCGTAGTGATGTCATATTATGTGACCACCGTATGACCGTAGGGGGCGGTGTTGCACTGTTGCAGGTCACAGAGTATGGTGTAACACCGGGTCCAATCCACCAGAACCAGTTTCGGTTTAAGTTTCATTTTTGACGTGCTGCATGTTTCTTCATGTTTGCAGTTTAATAATAATAACTAATAGTTTAGTTTTTCCTGTGACTTATTTGCAGTATGATAAATGGTAGGAGCATAATATACGTTCCCAATGTTTTGTTGGTCTTTTTTTTTTGTAAATAATTACCTTTTTTTGCGATTTTATTTATTTTTGTATCTTGAGATCCATGACGTCATGAAATACTCGAGTTCTACTCGGGTTTTATTATGTTAATGTCGAGTTTAAAAATTATATATACTCGTTCAACCCCTAAAACCTACTAAGCAATGTCAGTGGGATCATGCCTCTTTCAACAGTACAACAATGGAGCAAAGAGTCCCATGCCATGATTGACATCTCAAGCCCATCACTCATTCTTGCCTACAATGAGCATATGGGAGGAATTGATCTGTCTGACATGTAGTACACCTGTACAAGACCCCAGTCAAGTCAAGGAGATGGTATGTTCCCCTGTTCGGATACATCCTTGACCTCTGCATTGCAAATTCCTGGCGGCTCTACAAAAGGGACACCGACCTCCTGAAGAAGAAACCGATGTCCCTTAAACGGTTCCGACTGGCAGTCGCACACAGTTTGAACCAGTTCAAGAAGCCAGTATCCAAAGTGGGCCGACCATCATGCAGCTCTCCACCACCTTAAAACACCGGCTACAGTCCTAGACCCTTACGACCAAAACCACAACCAGATGTGCGCTACGACAACTTGGGACACTGGCCTCTTCAGTGAAAAGCAAGGCCGATGCAACCGTTGTCCAAAAGGAGTGTCTCGGTGGAAGTGTAGCAAATGCAGCGTTTTTCTGTGTTTGGATGCAAACCAGGAATGCTTTGTAGCATATCATCAGAGATAAACTGTATCTACTGCACAAAAAACATTTGTGCTGTTGCACAACCACACAGATGATGGAAAATTTAATGTTTTGATACATTTGGCAATGTTTTTCTGTGTTTGTAATGTTTTCTCAAAGTTTAAATGGAAACTAGCTACTATTTTAATCAGTTGATCAAAAATGTGACTTGTGTGAGGAGTGTTGAGAAATCCAAATAATAAATGCAATGTTACTGTTGTTTTGCACCAATTCCTTTAACTTTTTCAATATAATCAGAAGTATATTTGATGTTAATTCTGTGCTGTTGCACTTTATAGAGTTGAGAAAATTAGAAATTACATATTTCATTGTTCGAAGCAATATTTTCCTTGTTTGTGATGAAAACTAGAGATGATTTGTGGCATACTCAAAGAAATAAAGAGTATTCAATGCCACAGACAATTTTTGCTCTTTATTTCTTTATAAATTAGCACTTTATGTTAATTAATCTACTGTCGGCATTTGTATGAAGCTTTGTACTTAAACCATTAAGTGACATCTCGACTGTTTGGTAGAGATCAATATTTTAAAAACCACAGGGTCTGTCAAAAAAAAATAATCATTGATTGTGCTTATGACTCACCTAAGGGTACAAGAAATGCAAAGAAAACATTTTTTCACTGTTTTTTTCTTGGTGGGGTTGTTAAAGGTTTTAATCAGCTAACAAACAAGCAGCAGCTTCAGCTACCAGAGACTGACGTTACGTTTTCTCATTTGGAAACAGAACAAATGTAGAATATTGTAGAGACTCACCTGCCAACATGACTAGTTGTATCAGCTGTTCAGCTCCTTCATCCTCCTCGTGACTCCGACACGTTTACGTTTTATCTCCATGGTTCTCCTGTGTCGTGTCGTCACTTTTCAAAGCTGCATGTTGCGCAGTTTTTATCTTTGTCAAGAGCTCCCACACTTTGGAGGACTTGGGTCAAACAGTTTTCTCTGTGTCAGTCATTTGTAAAATGTATTTAATTTCCTTTGAAAACAGCCTCTGCTCTGCTCTGCTTCCGCCTCCCCCTTCGTTTTATTCAACTCGCGCTGCGGAGTTGTTTTTTTTTTTTTTACTTTATTCAGTCAGTCAGCATTGACAATGAACTGCAGGTTAACAAAACAGCTCCGCCCAATGTTTTTTGATTGTATTTTTTTTTTCTCTTTAGTGCATGTGAGAGCGACTAACAAAAGAAAAAAACAGCTCTAAGAAGGACAGCAGGTAACAGTGATACACTGTAAAAACACAAGACAAGAGATTACTAAAGACAATCATTTTAATCAAATCAGTCACTAAAAATCACTGCGCACCTGTAGCGTCTAATAAGCCAACACCCAGTCCCGGCAAATCCAGAAAAGCGCCGACAAGTGTGGCCCTACCAGACAAAATAAAAATATAAACAAAACCACATAATACAATTTAAAAAACCCAGAAACTTGCAAGCCTACCTGTGGCGTCGAACTACCCCATGCCCAGGCAGTCCCACTTCAATCTCCTCTTTGTTAAAACTGTGTGGTCCTGTTGTAAAAATATCACACATCAGAATAAATCAACTGTTTAGAACAATCAATACCTTTTTTAAAAACAAACCTCCAAACCTACCGCAATCGCATGCACCACAGCATGCGTGAACCCAGCACACACCTGGCCACTCACAGGAAACTGCACCCTCCCATCAACACAGTATTATCACTAAAAAGGGATTATTAAATGCATGATCATTATTAAGATTGAGAATGTATATAATTTCAGCTATCATACACTTACACTCTCCTCCTCATCCTCCACTCCCTCACACTCAGGCCTTTCCTCAGACTGCATGGTGACCCCATCATCTCCACAGTCTTCCTCTGTTGACCGCAAAGAACATTACTAGTATTTAAATTTCAGATTTTAATAGCAGAAAAGGCAAGTTGTGCATGAATGAAATTTCACCTGTTCAATCATCTTTTTCTGGATCTGCACCCAGACACGTCATCCATCTTATGTTTAAAGCGCAGAGCAGCTCTTCTCCACCTTATAACAAGATGGGATTAACTTATTTGACAAGTTGTCCATGGTAGGTGGTGTGTACTTGGGTTGATGGTTTTCACCATGTCCCTGCAAACATAGAAACAAACATGTAAGGTCTCTGTTACTGTTACGTTAGCTTAGGATGGACTATTAATTAGCTTAGCTCTATTGTTGTTGCCTAACTAACCTAAATGTTGGTGATTCCACATCTGAAAAGTGATGAAACCTTTTCACAATATATGCTGTAACGGTTCTGTGGCCCTCTTCATTCAGTTGCACCGACGTATTTCCCTTGGCGAACTCCTTGGTGAACGAAGGAGCACATTGTGGAGCCTGGCTAACTTTATTAGCCATTTCAGGTCGTTTGTCTATGAAAAAATACAAGAGCTAACGTTAGCATGGTGTTTGCATTTGAGTTGACCTACCGCTTTAAGTCTAGTATAACTTGTTAGCTGCCTTAATGTTGGTATGAGACGTAGTTTATAGTTTAATTTACCGGAGCAGGCAGTGAAGAACGAGGCAGCGAAAACAGTCCGGAGGAGCGCGTCAAAGACGACGGGTCACTCCGTTACTTCTGACGGTCGGACCCGGTCCAGAGGAGGAGGCAGCAAAAATAGTCCGGCGGAGCGCGTCAAAGACGGGCCATTATTTTACTTCTACACCCTCCTTTGCACGATATAAAATTATTGCAAGTGCTGCACTGAGCTGACTGGTCATTTTATTAAAGTTAAGCCACGCTTTCGCCCGCAGCTGCTCACACTCCGTGTATGGGAACACTTCCGGTGAATTCTTCTTCGTTGGTGTTCGGCGGGCGGCTTCTTCTTCTTTGGTGTTCGGCGGGCGGCTTCTTCTTCGTTGGTGTTCGGCGGACGGGGTTCCAAATGATTCTCGATGTCCAACCCTAATCATGCATGATGACATCATCACCTCAGATCAAAGTGTGCTTTGATCCTTTGTTGCATCATGCATGCATAATTTATGTGACATCATCACCGCAGCGCCCTTGGATCTTTTCTTACGTCACACGCAAAGTCTATAAATGTAAGTGGAAAACGGTTCATGTATCAAGAGGTTCTTGACTCAGTTAATTTAACTTGTTCCTGTGAAATTGTGTTTGAAAATGGCCAAACGCGTCGTTCCTGAACACTCAACATTTCAAGCACAGCTCGGTGCTACTATTAAAGCCAAGTCTAGCGTTTACAACATCCTAGAAGTGTTAAGACATGGTCAATTTGGAGAAATCGTTCTTTGCACAAAAAGGAGAACAGAAGAAATGGTTGTTTTGAAATGCAGAAAGAAAAGCAAATGTTCCCGTGAAGAAGATCGAGAGGTCAGCGCTTTAACTCGTCTCCAAAATCGAAATCCTGACAGAGACCACATAGTTAAGTTTATTGAAAACTTTACATTTAAGAACTTTGACTGTTTAGTTTTTGAAAAACTTGATTTAAACCTGCAGGATTTCATGAAAAAACGAAATTGTACACCTTTAAAGTCATCTCAAATTAGAGGAATTGCCCACCAAATGCTCGTAGCTCTGAGAGCATTAAAAAAATCTGGAATCACTCATGTAGATATACGGCCTGAGAATATCTTATTTGTGAACCAGCTCTCTCTCCCGTTCCGAGTGAAACTGGCAGGTTTTGGAAACGCCGTCACAACGCTCAAATTATCAGAGGCCGAGCTCCCGCGGTTTTGCGGATTCAGCGCACCAGAAATGTTCTGGGCTCATTCGCTGGACGAAAGCATTGACATGTGGAGTCTTGGCTGTACGCTGGCGTATCTGTTTCTGGGTGAAGAATTGTATCCAACGGACTGCGAGTACAATTATTTGAAATTTGTTATTAAACTTCATGGTAAACCAGACGATTCTGTCCTTAACCAATGCACGCGAGTGCAGAACTATTTTATTAACGATGTAGAGGACCATGCATGGAGGTTTAAAACAAACGAAGAATTTTACAAAGCAGCCAGAGAGAAAATTCAAACCAAAGTGCGCGCTTGTGATAATTTCGAGTCACTAGATTGTTTAAGACAAACGCGCACAGACTTGAAATCAACTGATTTAGAGGATGTGAAAGCATTTATAGATTTCCTTAAAACCCTGCTAAAACTAAATCCACAAGACAGGGTCTTGCCAAAGTGTGCACTGGATCACACATATATCACAATGGACCACTTTCCAAAGAGCACTAATGTCCACTTCAGAATTATTGCTTATAAATTAAGAATTGGGTGTGAATCGTTGAATTTAGATTCAGATGCCAGTGACGATCAAGGCAAGGAATTGAATGCATTTAGACCGAAAGACCCCAAAAATACCACAGATTCATCTGAAAACATTTTTGAGAAATGTTTTAACCTCTGCCAAAAGTTCCGAAAAGATGTTCAAACCAAAAACATCCGCCATAAAAATACCGTCTATCACTTTATTCAAGAACTTGGACAGGGGGTGTTTGGTAGCGTTTCTCGATACAGAAAAGGATTTACAAACGAGTTTGTAGCAATTAAAGTAATAAAAAAAGCTTTAGACTATTCAGCTGTACGAGAAGTCGAACTACTCCAACTACTCGAGTCAGACAAAAACAACATAATCAGGTGTTTTGACAGTTTTCCATACAATGAAAACACTTGCATTATGTTCGAGTTGTTAGACTTGAGTTTGTTCGACTGGATAACAAGAATTTATATCAGACCTCTAAGTATTTCAGAAATCCGACCAATTGCTGAACAGATGCTCGTTGCGCTCAACGCATTAAAACAACTGGGCGTTACTCATACAGACATCAAACCAGACAATATAATGATTGTCAATTACGATAAAATGTTTTTCAGGGTGAAGTTAATCGACTTTGGCGTCGCTTGCTGGACTTCAAAATTATCAATGAGCTCTTATATTCAATCTCCTGCATATAGAGCACCAGAGGTTTACCTGGGCTACTTTAAGGACGAAAGCGCAGACATGTGGTCTCTTTCATGTGTTTTGGTTTTTCTGTTTCTCTTCGGAAACATGTATCCAACAAGTTCGGAATTAGCAACCATGGAATTAATGATAAAGCTGCATGGTATGCCTGACAAAACATTACTGCGTATAGGCGAGCGTGTTGGCGATTATTTTATAAGAGTTAAAAATAATTGGAGACTGAAAACAGCAGAAGAATATTTGCCACAAATGAGAATCTCTACAGTCAAAGACAAAGATTACAAATGGTTTCAGTCTCTGGTTGATTTGAAAAAAAAGGCACCCAAAACGGAAGATCCCAATCAAATTGAAGATTTAGATTGTTTTATAGATTTCATAAGGCAAACACAAAGAATCGATTCAGCCGACAGGATTCTCCCGGCTGATGCGCTAAATCACGATTTTATTACAATGGCCCACCTTGCTGGTGCCGAAGATGACGTTTATGTTGCCGATGCATATCGAATCTTGGAAAAATGCCAACTTAGGAGCCCACTCAGAAACTCTTTTAAGAAAGAGGGTATGGACCTTAACACCGAAGCATGTGTTCCAGCCTCCACTTCAACGGCCCACAATTCTGATGCTAAAAACGACTCATCTGCCGTAAATGTTCGTCGGATATTTGTCAAATGCAGACACGTTAGCCCAGTCAGCTCTAGGGACTCAAACAGCACATCCTCTTCCAGTTCAAGCAATACGATCGATCAAGCGAATAACAGTTCTAAAAGGAACAAAGGAAATGTTACAGATGGATTTAAGGGTCTGAGAGTGAAAGCTGCAAGTGAAGAAAGTTTGGAATGTATCGCACTCAATCTTCCAGACAAATTTAATAAAAACATTCAGTCAGGAAATCCCTTAAAAAACGACACCGGTCCCTTTACCTCATGCAATAGAAACAATGGATTTTCTGGTCAAAATGAAAATCCCTCACTTTGTGTAGAGGTGAAAACAAAAGGGAAACATTTTAAGAGGATTGGGAAATTCTTCTCAAGAATATTTAAGCCAATCACAAGCCGTTTTAATAATGGTAGAGAGCCACCCGAGCAACAAACCAACATGAAACCACATATAAAGATGGTTTGGTGAAGTGGTGGTTAGCAAAAATATTCAAGGGTTAGGGTTCACATATCTGCCTTTTCGTATGGGATTGCATATGGGGGTTTTCTCCAGGCACTCTGGTTCCCCCCACCTCTCAGGTCTCAAGTCCACATGTACATGT